ACGCAATCCATCTTCTGCTCGTTTCAGAGAGGCCTTAAATTCTTTGAATATCTCAGGTGAGTGCCCTAATTAAAATTAATTGCTTTGTTATTCTTGCATGTCTATTTCTAAGTCTTTCTAGCTGAAGTTGTTTCATTTTATAAACTGTTCATAACTGAAGATCATAGAGGCTGTACTGAGTTGCCATGGGCAATCAAAGGTGTTGCAAACCTTAAAAAACATACGTCACTTTAGGAGGTGTTAAATGATTTGCTCTTGGTTGAGATTAGGGAGATGATGTTACTGCAGTATAAAAGATTGGTCGCCTCATGTAGAGCTGTAGGTACCTGGAACAATTACTATATTGAAGATAAATGTAAGTAGGTGAAGAAGATAAAAATGTGAGAACATACTGTAAGGGGAGAACCTACCAATGAGAAATTGGTAATGTCTCAAAAACTGAGACAGAGAATGATTGATTTCCATAGGAGGTGAGGGAGGAAGCACTTGGAGAAAGAACATGAAGAGGCAAAACTAGCAAAAGTCAATAGAAATTGATCATAAACTCACCTTGACTGGAATCTGTGAGGACATGAATAAGCTGCAATCTGGAATAGCCAAACAAGCAGGTGGTGAAAGCTGTGTTGATTTGGCACAAGCTGAATTCTGGGGATGATGGGGATGGGTCTGAGAAATGCACTTCAAAGAGGAAAGTTGAATACTGACTGCTTCTTGCATGTTGGTTATATCTTGATGGTTCTACTAAGTGCCTGCTTCTCTCTGTGCTGTCACACATGGCCCCTTTCTGCCCTTTATTGTGTCCTCGAGCTTTTTCTAAAAGAACATTACTGAATTTTAGCCCTTTCATGTAGAAATACTTTGAGCAGTTGACAGCTGGAAAGGCACGTGGGTGTGTTTTGGGGGCAAAGATGTCTCTGGGTGGAGGGTGTGATGACCTCCCAGGACTCCTTGACTCACATGACACAAATGTGACACAGCTGCACAGAGTAACAGGCTGTGTGCATGTCACTGATTGCTGATGCTATGAGAACAGTGCAAAGTAACAGTTTTGTGTGGAAAGACTGTGGAGATTTTAAAGGGGGCTATAAGAAGGAGACAGGCACTTTAGCAGGGTCTGCTGTGATAGGGCAAGGGGAAATAGTTTCACACTAAAACCAGGGAGATTTAAGTGGGACATAAGGAAGAAGCTTTTTACAATAAAGGATGGTGAAGCACTGGCACAGGTTGTCCAGAAAGGTGGTGGATGCCCCATCCCTGGAGACATTCAATGTCAGGCAGAATAGGCTCTGCTCACCCTGACCTAGCTGTGGGTGTCCCTGTTCATTGCAGGGGAGTAGGGCTAGATGGCCTCTAAGGGTCCCTTCCAACTCATAAGATTCTAAGATACTGCAGGAATTGTAGGAGAACAGTCACTATTCTGTGTATTCTTAGAATTCTTGCTAACGCTTCACAAGCAGTGGCACTGATTGAGGATATGCAGCATGTAAGTTTTGCTTGCGTGTCAGTTGCAAACTGAGCGTGAATAGAAAGAAAACCTATAAATTGGAGCTGTGCCTGGATAAACTATTCATACAGGCATAGCTCAGATTACAGTGATGAGAAGACTAATTGTTAGCATCCACTGTTACTCTGTAATAAATCCCATTGGGGCTTATTTTAACTTCAATGGTATTCAGACATAGTGAAGATAAAACATTTATTAGTGTGTCAGAATGGAAGGCTGTCTAGAACTGCATAAAATCAAATTTCTCCATTTGGTGTATTTCAGTGGCAATTCATTTCCCTGCTACTCCAGTGAGTGGCACATTCCAATCAGCCAGCACTAAGAAATATTAAAGTAGACAACGTGTAGGCAAAGCTCAGAGAACTGATTAATATATCACAGCTTTAAAATAATTTTCTATTTAAACTGATTTGCCCTTCCAGTTTTGATAAGTAATTTGTGCTAGCTGAGTATGCATTTGCAATAAATTTTAAATCCTTCCAAACTTCAAGGCAAGCAGTGCAGACACTCAGTGCAGCTTGGGGTCAGTCATTGGCCTCAGCCACAGCTGCGTCTATGTAAAGCTCCTTGACCCTTCAAATACATTCCTGCACTCTCTCCACAACAAATACGTGTTAATGGCAAGGCAGAGCATTTATAACTTATTAAATACTTTAATCCAGAGTCAACAAGCAGACAACATTTGGTTCTAGCAGGCAATGAATTTTCACAGCAGTTGAGAAGCAAGAGCTTGAAATTACTTCACGCTGGTAATCCACTACCTGTAGATTTCCATTGTTTATTCATTCTCTTGATGGATTGTTTAAAGTGCATTGCTCCTAGCACAGCTCAGTTTGAATACAATCAGTAAATCAATACAATTTGCAATTCAGTGGAATTTGCAAACGTATGTAAGTGTTTAAGTAGTCTAAAGCTAAATAACTGGAGCATTCCCTCTTCCTTCCGACAGTAACTCACCTTTAGAAGCTTGCACGTGTTTGCAGTACATCAGGGCCTATCTCACTGCTTAGCGCTGGGTAATGCGATCACAACCGGCAACTTTGTAACTTTCTTGTCTCAATACAAGTGAAAAATCAGGTAGCTCTTCCAACCCAAACAACACTGTGAATGGTGAAGTCTCTTGCTGTTAAGCTTGTTTGTGAAGTACATCTATTAGTTACTTACAAAGATAACAAGGCGCACTTCTTTTTCCCACTATATGTGACAGAATTGCTAAGCGTGAGAACAAACTGATCCAGTGAGGATGCTGCTTTCCTGCTGTGCTCATGGTGTATGGTCTTGGAAGTCAGGATTTTAGACTCTTAGAAAAAAAAATAACGTGATGAGGCAAGAAACTGTACACAAAGGAAACTATATTAATTGCCTACCTTATTTCACCCTCAAAGAAGGAATAAAAAGTCAATTTTGCTTTTTACAAGCACCTCTTAAGTCTTCAGCATCCCAAAGGAGGCTGCCAAGGGGGATTCTTCTATGACCAGTGCTGCTAGTGTGACATCAAATGCAATTAAAACTTCAATCTGGGTGAGATTATGTCAGATCTAGGTCCTTGAACTAGCTGCAAGATTTTGGTCTGTATCAGGAGTAATAAAAATAAGCAATATAACAGTGTCAGGCATCCTCCTTGTCTGCCCCAGTCTATTACAAAGCAAGAGTGTGCAGTGGCATATGAGCAGGTCCTTCATGTATACAGCCCTTCAGGTAGTTTCTGAAACCGCATTTACGTGCTTGACTTTGTGTCCTTGGATCTTGCAACAGCCATTTATTTGAGGCCAAAATCTCCCTGTGGTTCAGGCTTTAATTGTAGGAACCATTCTAGTAAGTCAAGCTTGGCTAAGAAAGCACTGGAGCACTGGCAGATACAAGATGGAGTCCTATGTGACATGTCTTTTGGGGTGGAGTTGTTTTAGACCTGCACTACAATGATCAGGCAGTTAGATGATAGGGGGGGTGAGGGGGGGGAAAACTTGAAGGGGCAAAGCTTCAACAAAAAGCTTGGCTCAGATTATTTTTTCCTCCCTTGGAGAGTAATTTTTCACCTAACCTCTTAGCAGAGTGCCAATAGACAACTGTAGGTGGGTGTCAAGCAGGGAAGTAACTTTTAATAGGGTGTATAGACCATATCTTTGTATTAGAAGGCCAAGTCTACAAGTCTAGCTCCCAGGATTTAAAAAAAAAAAAAAAAAAAAAAAAAGGAATTTATATGCTGAAGACTTATGCACCTTAGAGTGCATTCAGTGTGACTTGATGCATTTAAGATGAGAATAGTGGAATTTTAACAACAACAAAATATTTACCACTAATAAACATCAAACACTTTAGCAAAGAATACATGCTACTTTACTCTTGCTATATAGGAAAATAAGCTACGCAAGATATTGAAATAACACTGCTGATGTTAATTTGAATGTCATTATTTGGGGCAATAGGTAGTGAATTATTTTTGTGTTAAGCAGAATTTTTCTCAGATTTAAGTAATCACATATTGACCTACAGCTTTGAAAATGTTTTAAATGAAGCATGTTTTGAAGTCAGTATATTGTAGAGATAAGGAATTGATTCAATCAGAGAGCTAATAGCTCTTATCTCCAATTTATACTTATGCTGGCAAAACTCCCTCTCCCCTCAATCAGCCTCAGGGTTTTTCTCCCTCCAGTCATTTGACTCCAAGTCTTCAGCAGCAATGAGTTACTTCAGTGAAGCTTTGCTATACACAGACCATTAGAACTCCGATTCTTATAAGCCAATGCATTTGCTGTGAGCTCTAACAGAATCTATTGATGTGATTTAGGAAGTTATGTGTGCTGGGGAGAACAATATTCCTTTAAACCTCCAAATGATCTTGGCTGTGTATGCCTGTTGATTCTGATTCTAGTCTGTACCACAGCTGACAAGTTTTGTGCTAATACAAGCACAAAGCACTAATCTAGCCTTGTTCCCATACTTGCTCTTTGGTCCATTATATCCTCCAGCACTAGTTTTTTTTCAGTACAGCAAGATTATAAAGTCAGCAGCGTCCAATATAGGTAGAGAGGTTATCATTTTGCACAGCATGCAAACAGTTCCTTATCTTTTGTAAAGAGATCATGGTTTGGGGCAGACTCCTGCCAAAATAATTCATTTTGCCTATTTCTTTCCTCAGGAAGTTTGGAAATGAAATTATTCATGAAGTTTGTGATGCGACACATTAGCCTGTTCTTAGCTATCATTTCTCCCAGAGAGCAAACACACCTGAACTTGATCCTTCTTAAAAGATATTTGTCTAGAGTGCAAAAGCAAGAGTTGCTGTGTTTCCCATGGATCCCCCAAGAAAGACAGTAGCTGAGGCTAGGCTGGAGAAGTTAACTGGGCAGACCAGAAATGAAGCAGCGATGTAATGCAGCAGACAACCATGATTCGGTCCATACAAGATTTAAGGTTCCTTCAGCAAATGAGCAAGAAAGGCTTAATTTGTTGTTTGGCAACATCCACCCCCCCCAACAAAAATTCAGCACTCAAATTTAACTAAAGGGTAGTTTATTTCCTGTTAAGACTGCCCCGAGGAAAAAACTAAACACTGAAAACCCCACAGAAGGGCACATACAATAAGTGTGGTGAAGTACAGTGTGAACAGCCCCAGGGGTTCAAACAAGGTAGGACCATTAGTTGACCAGAGGGGGGGGGGGGGGGGGGGGGGGGGAAAAACAAACCAAAACCAAATTAAAACTTTGTGGAAGATGCTGCACTTTCTTTTTCAATTACACTGGAAAAAAAGGTCGAATCCAACAAAATCCTTGCATCTCTAAGTCATTCAGGCCTGACTGAAGAGTTAACAAGATGGCAACAGGATGACTATAATACAAAACTTTCACTACTACACTCTGTACACACCTGTTGTCCAAGCCCTCCCCCAAACCCACGTAAGGATGGTGCCCCCATTATTTGCTTGCTTGCTGAGCCTGCCTGCGGAGGAGGACGTAGATCTTCTCCTTTATCCAGTCTTTATTGTATGGTTGGTATGTCTGAGTATCAGCACGGTAACTAGAAAAAAAAAAAAAGAATTAACATAATATTGGTCTATCCCATAGAACATTTACTGGAAAGACTTCAACAATTAAGTGTCTTCAAGTTCATAAGGCAGAAAGAAAGTACAGAACACGATATCAGAAGTGAATGATAACTGCCACTTATCAAAGAGATTTGTCCTGTTCCCTTACAAGCTACCCTGCAGATCAGTAAGAACCTGAAACAGAACTGAATACTGCAAAGACTATTAAGAGACTGCATTTTGCATTTAAATTCATGAATATAGCTAACTACTTACAGAAGAAAGCAAACAAAGCAATTTAATATTCTGAAGCTCAGGATTAGAAACTAATAGTCGCACCATGAAACATTTAATTTGTCCTAATGAGCCAAACATTCAGATTAACTTCAAGCAAGCACTTACATAATTTTTCATGTGTTCCTCTTCTATATGGATTTAAAAAAAATAAAATTAATGAAAATACAACTTTCCAGGAGTAAAGGAAGGCTAACAGGCAGATGGTAAATGATTCTTGTCAGCTGGCAGCAGAGATAAGCTTGCATCTAACCAACAATGACACTTCATAAAAAGAAAGAACCCACAGGTTAATTTTCTTTGCTGCTTGGGGACAGGTGATAAAAGTAGACTACTGGCAAGACTTCTCCTCAGAGCCAAAGAAGTTGGCTATGCAAAACACTGCTGAACTAAAGGAGGATTAGAATAAAAGATGAAAGCACTGTGAAGATTCAGACTCTCCTTTCCCCTTAGTCCACAAGGTTGAATGTTTTTTGACAAAGATAACATTTTCAGTGAATGTTACAGGCATTATTGAAGTCCCAGCCAGCTTCTAAACATGGTACAGGTACTTCTCATCATATAAGAACACTAAGATGGTCATCAAAAAGCAGCTAAGTGTAAATCCAGAATATTTTACAATTTTCACTTAAGAAAAACAACCCTAAGCACACTGTTTTTAAGAAAGCCTTCAAGACTTAAAAGGAGTTTTCATGCAGTTTTAATACAGTGTAAGAAAAGCTAGTTTCAGGAATTATTATTGATTTTTATTTATTTTTTTCTTTCTTTTTCCCAATCCATTCATAATGCTACACTGCAAGACCAGATAGCGAGTAATTTACAGATCTCCATGAGCACAAGCCATGTCTGGTACGTTATGTGCTACGTATGCCATCTGGTGGAAAACGCTAAGTTGAAACAGAATGTGGTGTGACATTAAGTTTGTAATCCTAATAAAGAAAGGAAGAAGTCCAGTAGAAAATATTTGCTACTTAGAACAAGTAGCTACCTTTGGTTTGTTAAATATACTAAAACAATGTCTTCCAACCTGCATCAGCCCAGTAGCATAACAGCAGATCTAACATGGCAGAAAGGTAACTTTGCAGAAATTGTAATAGTACTTCATTTATTCAAATGAAAACTTTGGTAAATAGCATTTGTTCTTAGTCACTATCAGTAACAGATATACCACGTGTGCAGCTAGATGCAAAGGAAAACAATACAGTGCTCATCTTTTAGCAGTTTTCTTTTTTTTTTTTTTTAAACTGGGATTAATTGGCAAAGATGGTTAACTGTGCAGCTGCAAAACACTTGCAGTGGGATTAAGACAACAGTACAGCTGTAGGAATGTCCACACTAGGTATGGACTGGCTTAAAAAGGGATCCTAGAATTTGAGCTTAGCAAGTGAAATATCAGTACGTGCATACATGTATCTTTTAACAATTGAGTGTGAGATGTGTACCTGTATTCCTACAGACAGCATTTCTGTGAAATCGGATAATGCTGTTAGCACAAACCATTACTCTGAACTTGTGCTATGGCAACTAGCCAGGATCTGGACTAATTGATTTAGTTACCACTCTAAATACTGAAATTTGGCATTTGATTTACAGTACAATCAAAATAGAAAGTGTTCACTATCTGCTTTGTTTGCCCACAATTTTAACACACCGATAAGAACCAGAGATTTTGGTGTATTCAGAAGAGCACTCAAACCATTAACTAGGGATCTTTGGATAGGGTCTTCAGTCACTTATTCAGGATTTACTGAAGTTTCCATTCTGCAGCACCCTGATCAAAGAAAACTCTTGGTTGCAAGTGACTTCTGTAGACTACCACCATACTGATAATACAGCCCTAAGCCAAATAAAATTCCTTCACCACCCTGCCTCCTTAACAATCAGGTCAACTGCAAACAAAGCAGATCCAGTCCCAATTTAAACAGGTTCCAGTGAGTTGTATTAACATGTGAGATTTATATGGATGACTTGTGAATTCTGTAAGCCACTGAAAGGGACTTGTACAACTAAACTTACACGAGACAGCTGAGATCTGCCAAGTCATCAATGAAGTCAAACAACTGGCTGATATCATATGTAATGGATGGACTGTTGGGATTCATTCTCTTCAAATGCTCTTCATACATTTTACAGACTCCTGCAGAGAAAAAAAGATTGTTAATATAGTAACATCAGTGGGGGAAACAAACAAACAGAAAATCCCAAAATAACAACAAAAGCCAAACAGTGGTATTTGCTGGGTTTTTTGGTTTGTTTGTTTTTCTTCTCCAGATATGGAACCACAGATATCAGCTAAGTTTATATGTGAATACCAAGAAAACCAACATTAGTGCATTCAGATTTTGTAGTTAAAATACTGTTGCTCTAGATACTTGCATTTAAACACAATACCATAAAACCAGGTAAGATGCATGAAAAGAAACATGTTCATCAGCTAGAACAAAAAGTTTTAGTTCTGTCACAGACAGAACGTTCTACATAATAAGTTCCAACTGAAACCTGAAATTCCTTCTGATGATTTTAATACAGCAAGTGCTACATTGATTTCCACTGTACGAGCACCTGAGAAAGTACAGCTACTGTCATACAAAGCTGCTCAAATCTCATGAAGAGGTCATTCTTGATGAAAGCGTCAAAAAGGACAAGTGAGGTAAGAGCAACAGCAAAAACTTGCATATGAATTTACATGAGTTTTATTTATGCTAGTCTATAAATTTGATTCAGACATATTTCAAAGTAATGTAATACAGTGAGCGTGGTGGTTTTACATGGCCTTTACTGTGTTTTTGTTTGTCTTTCAAGGCTTCGGGAGTTAATTTTTAACATTAAGAGAATCTTCACATTTTAAGTTGTAGTATTTCAATCTTCAGGCTCACTGAGTCTCTTAATGTCAGACAGGACTTTACTTCTGGTACATATGCCACCAGCTTGCAAATTATGTATCAGTTACACATAGTTTTACGCATTATGTCCAGTAGGGATCTTACCTTTATATGGCTAGCACAAAAAATTAGTAAGAGCTAGACTCTGATCCTGAAATGAAATGCATCCAGACAGCTCCGTTGCACAGCCCCACCAAAAATACTGCCTACTCTGATGAACTGAACATGGCTCAATCTTGCTAAGCCAAAAAGAAAACAAAGAATAACTATTTTTAATTTGCTAAAACGTTAATAAATAAAAAAAACATAAGATACTTTTGTAATGTTTTTTCCAAGTTACCGTAGGGAAAACAAACAACAGCTTATTCTCTTACTGAGAAAGTATAGGGATATGTTAAACAGGTTTGAACAACAGCTTTAGACTCCGGTGTCTGTACTCACCTTCCATGCACTCATTCACCGATTCATAATCGGCGTATGTTCGGCCTTCTGGCCTCTTGGTAGGCTGCACAAGTAGAATTGTGTGAGACTGGAAGACAAAACAAGAAAACACCACATTAAAAAAAAAAAAAGTAGTGAAATTTTTACAGGTAATGCAAAGTTGTTTATCTGGAGAAGAAGCAATACTTCTACTTCTGGCCACCAAACTACTGCACAAACTGGGCAGCATTCAATAGCTGTTCCCAGTATTACTTTGTGACACTGCTGCACATCTTTGGTGTGTAAAGGTTAATTATGAGGACTAAGATGGTAAAGCCTTCTCAAAACTAACTGGGCAAGCAAATAACTCAAAAAAGTAGCATAATTTTAAAACACTGAGCAAGGACATACATTTTCCAAGTAGTACTTTTCATGTAAGCTCTGTCAATAACAATTTCTGCTTCCAGTCAGTCCTATCAATTCTTACAGAACTTTTTCAAGTGTGTACAATCACCAGTAAAGCAGCAATTGTATTGAAAAAAACAAACACACAAATAGTATTTTCTACCTAAAGAGAAAAGCAAGCCAAAACAGTTGGTGGATAGAAGCTATCCCACTGGTGCCATTTATTTACCGTATTCCAAATGCAAGCTCTAAGTGTGAGTTAAGTATCCTAACGAGAGAGCAAGGATGGAGTCCGAATTAACGCTGCTGTCTAAACACAAGCAGCTATTTGGAATTATTCAGCTCCAACAGAAGTTATATACCAAATCTTCACTTAGGAGCAAGATTGTTTCCCGAGAAACAGATGTGCTGATGTTAACAGCGAGTCTGCTGAAACTGTAATTATGGCACAGATAACCGCTCCAAATGTCAGCCTGCAAACTCTTTCTTCTGCAAGAAAGACTGATGATTGTACAGTCTGTGGCTTGCATTATTTCTCTAATAGTTTTCAATTGGGTGTAGCAAGTAATTTAAGCATCCGTGTAATGTTTTTGAAGTTATGCAGTTTGTGATCTGATTTACAGGTTACATGTCATAAAATTTGCAAGCACACCAGGAAACAGCATTTCTAGCACTGTTAATTAGATTCAACGCTTTCAAGGCTAACATATGAGGTGAGTATGCAACCTGTAAAATTGATGTAGGCAACCGCAGAGTTAGACATATTAGAAATGTATACCTAAGTACATTACCAGGTTTAAATTGAGCAGCCTCCAGTAGAAAAATCCTAACCCACATTTTAGGCAGACATCATTTTGGTGCTCAAACGCAATGACAGAAAAATAAAAATGGCAAATATTTATAGGGAACACGGTGGAAAACTATACTTATTTTTATACCATCACCGATAGCATTCCCATGCCTGGAATACTGTTTTCAGTTCTTGAAGTTCAGTTTCAGATAACATGGCAGGAGGAGGTTTGGAGGAACCCAGAAAGAAAAGCTGCAGGAGTAGGAAGAAGAGTTTTCCTCTATCAGAAACAGAAAGAGGAATTCACAGCTACACGCTATAGTGAAAATTGCACAAAGGAGATGAGTGCTTCTAAATCTGCTTTCCATATACTCTCAAGGACCCCAGATCTGAAATGAATGACCCCAGCCAGGAGTTGCTGGGATCTCACTGCTCCTAAGGGTGCTGTACTTGAACTGAGCGTCACACAACTGCCAAGCTTTATCCAACTATTACTTCCAGCAACAGTGTTTATATTTAATGTTCCCGGATGACCAGGCAAGCTTCCATAACTTGCAACTCGTGATCACCTGGAAGCATTTGACTAAGGATCCCTTGGGAACAACAAAACAGACAGGCTGTATCAGCCAATTCAGCACGCTCTAGTAAAGCTTTGATGTTTTAGGTATACATCTGTTTATCTCTTTCAACTAAATTCAGCATAAAAAAAAAATTAACTTTGAGAAAACTTAACAAAGCATAGATGTAACAGAATTGACTAGGAATTGAGTCATCCACACTGATCTTCTGCTAACTGCCTTTAAGGCCTGTCCACCTTCACTGGAATACTGAAATTGCTGCTCCTGGAATCAACCCTACAGCAGAATGAATGTGTGGTGCCTTGTTTCTTTCCAGACTTTCCATTTTTTTCACCTTAAGGGAAAAAAGTCACAATTTGGCACAATATGCTGAAACAGCCCTTCTCCCACCACAGATGTGCAAAGAAACGCCAAATTCAGAGATCTGAACGCTTCCTTCTTCGAACTATGCCCTGACCAGCTAAACACGTGCTTGAGAGACACTGGACAAAGATCAGCGGGCTTCAAAACTACGCTATTTTCTACCGTTTTTATCCTTATCGCCAGGAAAACGCAGAGCGGACCAGGAAAGGCACAAATAAGATCGCTCCATAAGACTAGGCGACGCTAAAGAGCCCGCTACAGCGAGCCGCCGCCATCCCCTCTTGGAGCCGTGGGGCGGGGCGAGCGGCGGGGCCCCGCAGCTTCCGTTGGCGCGCAGTGGCCATGGCGGGTGGTCCCAGCCCGCCGGCGAAGCAGCGCCACACAGCCTAACTCGAGGCCGCGGCAACGGGTTCCTCGCGCAGCCGTAGGGCTGCCCGGAGGACTCCCGGATCGCGGCCCGCTTAGGCTGCAGGGCAGACGCCCACCGGCACGTGGTGCTGCGTACTGACTGGCTGCCTGCCTGCCTGCCTGCCTGCCTGCCTGCCTGCCTGCCTGCCTGCCTGCCTGCCTCCCTCCCTCCCGCCCGCTGCCCGCCCCCAGCCCGCGCCACGATGAGGGAAGCGCTCGCGCTGTCCCCGGCCCGGTAGAGAGGCAGAAGGGAAGGGGGGCGCGGCTCACCATCACGCCCCGCTCCAGAGCTCCGCCGCCGACTTAGAGGCACTCGACGATCCCCCACAACGCCCCGCGCCCGCCGGAAGCGCCGCGCTAACGGCCGACCATAGAGGTGGTGGTGCCAGAGCGCCTCCACGCATGCGCGCCTCACGCAAGAGCGCGGGCGCCGCACGGCAGTGCGCTGAGGATGGCGGGAGAGAGGCAGGCTGGCAGCCATCTTTGGTGAGGGTGCCTCTCTTTCCCGCCTAGCCCGCCATCTTGAAGTCGGGAGGCTCGTGGGTGTGAGGACGTAGAGCCCCGGAAGGGGAAGTGTGGAGTGACTGAGGTGCCACTTGGCCTCTGAGGCAGCTGTGGGGCCCGTGGCACAGTGCGGCCTCCCCGCGGCCTCTCCCTGCTAGCAGCCGTCCTTCCGCTTGCCGCTTCCCCACACTCCCTGGGGACAGCGAGGCACTCCCGCCACGCCCCTTGCCTCAGGTGAGGGCCGCTTCTATTCCGGCCCGGTCTACCGCTCTTCGTCCCCTCGAGGCGCTGTCAGCGGCAGAGAGGCCCCGGGCCCTCGGGGCTGAAGCTCGGGACGGGCAGCCATGGCCGAGAGCCCCTCCTGGGACCTCGGCGTTTGCGCTGGCTGAGGCGTGAGGGCCGAGGTGGGACGGGTGCTGTTGAATTTCGCTTAAAGGAAGCGGACAGAGAGCAGCGAAATGGATGACTTCCGCTCCATCTGCCTGCTGTCCCTGGCCATGCTGGTCGCCTGCTATGTGGCGGGGATTATTCCCCTGGCCGTGAACTTCTCGGAGGTAAGAGAGCTTTGCCCAGTCTCACCTTAGCTGCTGTGGAGGGGTACAGTTTGCCTCAGGAACCACTGAGGTCACAGATTGAGTCACGGTGTGTCTGTGGGCTGCTCACTGGAGGTGCAATTCAAAAAACGTTCTCTAAACGCTTTGTTTTGGTTCACGGTTTAGTTCGGGCTTTGTGTTACTGATGAAGCAAACCATATCACTTTGGTTACAGCTCAAGTTGATGTATTGCTCCCTGTGTCTCAACTTACTGACGTGTGTTGTGGCTGTGTAAGGTTTTACTAAAAGGGAGGGAGAGGCACTATTGTGAATGGAATGGGGGGTTCAAGCAGTACAGCAGTTTTAAAGTGTGCGCCACTTGGATGCATCTGAGAAATGGTATGTCAAAGTTATTAAGGTTACAGATTCTGGACCCAACATCCTTTAATGCCAGTGTGGGTTTTTTTATTATTATTATTTTTTCTTTCATAAAGCTGTGATAGAGTGACAGTTCAATTGTTCTAAGCCAGCAAGAGCCCACTTATGAGAGGCTTTCCATTTCTGCTGGGACCAGTACCATTTTTGGAGACTAGAAAAGAACTGGAAGAGAAATTACTTCTTCCACTGTATCACAGAGATTATTGAACCTAGCCTTTGGTCTTGTGATCACTAACGTAGTGGTTGCTTTGGGAGCAGTAAAATGAACAGTGTAGAAGAGAAATCTGTTAATTTTGCTAACAATGTAGTCCACTCAGTGTTTTGAAATGTCAGAATATACTCTGAAATCTTTGTGTAAGCAGTAGTTTGGTTATGTTTTGCTGGTGCTTTGTTTGATGCTTTGACAGAAATTCCCTTACATAACTTCAAGACTGCACAGCTACCTTCTTGCCCTTCAAAACTCAGTTTTACCCTGAAGCATCAAAAGGACTTTTTGTGAATTTGCTGCCTCGTATTGAATCAAATAATCATTTGTGTTGGAAGGGACCTTCAGAGGTCATCTAGCTCAACTCTCCTGCAATGCACAGGGACATCTACAATGAGATTAGGGTGCTCAAAGTACCGTCCAGCCTGACCTTGAGCGTCTCCAGGGACGGGGCATCCACCAGCTCCCTGGGCATCTTGTACCAGTGCTTCACTAATCTTATTGCAAAAAACTTCTTATATCCAATCTATATCTCCTTTCTTTTAGTTTGAAACCATTTCCCCTTATCCTATCACAGAAGACTCTGCACGGTAATAGCGCTCTAAAATTTTTTATATATATATGGATTTATGTTTCCTCATGTCTGTGTGCACTACACGTGTGTACAAACAAGTTCATTGTGTTATTGTAAACTCCTAGGAATTCTTAGTTCGGTTCTACACTTGCCTTAAACTTGCTGCTCTTGTGCTCCACGTGCTTTACTGGTTTAAAAAAGGAGAGATGTATCTGCAGATATTTTATGCATGCACAAATTAGTTCTGAAAGTGTCTAATTAGGGTATATAATTGTCTTGTTTTAAGTGATTGCTCAGCCTGTGCGACATGGACAACTTTAGAGTGAAATAATTGGAGTGCGTGTTTTGTTGTTTGCAATAAGTTTTGTAGGTGACTTCAGTGAGAGAAAAATGCACTCTGTTAGGCTAACCCTGGGTCAGAAACTGTGCTGACACTTCTTGAGGCACACTTACAACAGTTGGAGTTATACAACTTATTGGGCTGACTGGAGTGAAAGTGCTTGGTGCTGAAAGCAGGTGTGAGGTTTTTTAGGTCCAAGTAAGGTTTGAAGATTTTAAACCAAGGAATACAGAACAGCTGGCTAGCTTGAGGAATTTAAGATTTTCTGTGTATTTTTAGCATTGTTTACTCTGTTCCTCTTTCTAACGAGACACACAAGTGGTTTTGGAACTGAATTTATTTGATTTCTGAGATGAAACTAGATGACTTTTGCCTGTCTGAATAAGCTGCTGTTATTGTATCACTATATTCACCATTTCAAAGTATTTCATATTGAAAAAGAGATGCAGACTTCTCTTGAAATAGCAACTCATCTGTGTTCATACATTTTTTGAATTCACAGGTGTCTGAACTCAAGCAGTGCTGTGTGTTTGTAGTAGTAATAGCACCACAGTAGGCCAGGTGTGTTTTGGCAGTACTTTTACGCATACATCCAAGTGCAGATGTGCACACATGCTGTGTGGAAGAGAGGTCATAGCGTTGCAATATAAAAGGCATCTTGTTCTCATTTTGAGGCACTGTAATTTGGCAAAACTGCATCAGGAACAGTGGGTCCATCTCCTGCATATCGCTACTCAAATTTTCCCCAGTAATGAGCTGTGCATCTCTCCAGAGCCTCCTGTTTTCTCAAGGCCAACGTCACCTCTTTAGGTGAGATTAACCAACGTGTCACTGCAGCAGGGTGAGAGAACAGATGGCGTCATGCAGTATGCTACCAGTGGTTTCCCATCGTTTGAATGCTGACCTTTGTTTCCAGGACTTTGGAAGTCAATGTTTGTATTTGGTGACACACATCTTTGTGTGTGGGAGATGATTGTTCTGCCACTGCCAAATATATGGTAATCAGTTGTTATAAGGATCAACATTTTTGCTATTACAATATGCTGTATTTTATTACAGAAATAAATAGAAGTGAACTCTGCAAGGAGTCTATTAGGTGTTTATAGAAGTGGATTTTCAGTGTATTGCTTTGACTTTAGCCTGTCAATGTTGTAGTCATAAGGAAGCAAAAAGTGGACCAACAAAAATAGTGGACCAACATTTTATATTGGAATTTATATATATAAATTATTAAATTAAATATATTAATATTAATTAATTTTCCTCCCACAGAGACATCCCTATGTCTATAAAAAATAATATATTAATATTAAATTAAATATATAAATGGAGGGGGAGGCAATATCTCTAAGGTTTTGTTTTGTTTGGTTTATTCCAAAATTACAATGTAACTAGAGAGATGATCCTTACTCACAGTAGCGAATAGCTAGTTATCTTTTGTGCTGTTTTTTAATGATAAAGCATGTCGTAGAAACTTATGCTGGAATGTGAACTAGTCACTACTTTTGTTTACTATATGATAAAAGCATGAAATTTGTATAATTTTAAGATTTAAGTACAAATTTGCAAAACTAACCAGCTTAGCCGTTTTCTGTCTTTGTATAAACATAGCTGACTTAGCGGTTGATTGGACATACTTGACCAACATATTTACATCTGTAGAGACTGTTACGTTTTTGTCCTTCTTGCTTCTCTGACTTTTATTAGGTTTTATTTTGGTATTTTTCTTTGTCATTTTTGGGAACAGATGATTTGTCTTGCCATACCTAGGTGAGGCCTTAGAGAACTTGCATGTTTAAGAGTGATTTCTAGTATCTGGATCTGTTTGATAACAAAACCAGACCGGAGGTAAAATGTGGAATTGCAAATGTGCTCCAATTCAGACACTCCATGTTCCTTTGTCTCTGTAGGTTTTGCAGTTTGAGGGGGTGAATTAGCACCAAATAATCATTAGTGCCCAAGATAACAATCCATGCCATTCTCATGTATGTGGTGTTTCATTTCTTCTCTGGCATTGCTTTTCTAATGGGTTGTCTCTTTCATTTCTTATTTCAGTTGTTTGTGTCAGACCCTGGATATGTTCATTAGTGAATAAGAATCAGGAGTAGGTTTTGTGCACTTTGAGCTCTGTTAATGAGGGAGAGTAAGGGAAGCACCATCCTTCTTAAAGGTGATACTTGTTTTGTGCTTGCTTGCAGGAGAGATTAAAGTTGGTGACTGTTCTGGGTGCTGGGCTGCTGTGCGGAACTGCCTTGGCTGTCATTGTGCCTGAAGGAGTACATGCACTTTATGAAGACATTTTGGAGGGTAAGAACAAAAACTGTGTCTGTAGGTGGCCATGTTCAAGATAACCTAGGCCATAGTTCTATGACTTACCAGGGTCTGCTAACATGAGATTGGCAGGAGTTTCACAGCAGTATGGTGCAAATGCAGCATAAAATCACTGCTACAGATAAAATACTGGTTTGACAGAGAAGCGCCATCAAGCTGTGAATCAGGTGATTCTTGCTGAGCAATTTAGCCATTTGCAGGTCTCTTGTATTGTACCAGTCATGGAATCGCAGCCTGTTACAGTAGGTTATGTGTAATGTCTTTTATTATGGAGGGGGTCAAACTTTCACTGGTATCTTGGAGGAGAGGCATAGGGATGTCTCTGTGGAAAGAAAAGCTTATGGGCTATTTGCTGTTACTTTTTTGTAGTTTAGTTCACTATGCATTTTAGCAATAGAAGTGTTCTACAGATCTGTATGGACTTGCCACTTTGTTTTCTCCTTGAAACTGTAGAACTTTTAAGTATGCGTAACTCCTTACAAGTGTA